CCCCGGGCTGTGAGGCTGCAGGCGGAGGGGTGTGGGAAGGCCCCGCCCGCCGCCCCGCCTGGCTGTGGCAGCCCTTGCTGCCAAAGGTCACCTGCTAGGAAAACTGGGGTGACAGCTGCCTCTGGGGCCGTGACATCACCCCGCGGGCCTCTCGAGAAGGGCAGCGAGCCCCCCTTCTCCCCGGCGTGGAAACCGGAAGCCCAGCCGGCTGTGAAGGGTTGGGGCAGCCGCGCCTCCCCGGGTCCCACAGCTCTGCTTCAGGGCTGGAGACCAGGCCCAGGGTCCCCGCACAGCCCAGCTCCGGGTGCCTGCCCTGCAGGTCTGAGCCAGGGACCCTCCCCCGGGACCCAGCTCCCGCCTGCCTGCCGCTGCTTCAGGGCCAGTCCCCAGGCAGGAAGATTGCGCGGACTGGGGACGCATTCGGTGTGGAGGCCCTAGGTTCAATCCCCAGTGCTGGGGCTGGGGTGGGGAGAGAAAAGAACCAAAGAAAAGGAAACCAGGGCCCCAAATTCAGCTAGCTCGTGCCAGAGACCTCCGAAGGGAAGAGCCAGAAAGCCGCCCCCCGGCCACCGTCAGTCACCCTGACCACACAGTCCCCACCGTGCAGTGTGCAGCTCCTAAGCCATCTGCTTTTACCCACAAACCCTTGAGGCATTTTACAGATGCAGAGACTGAGGCCGGGGAGTGAAACAACCCCAGGCCATGAAGTGTCAGGGCTGGGTGTGAACAGGACACCTCGGATTCCCCTGCTTGCCCAGGCGGGGGCAAGGGGCCCGAAGCGGGATGGAAGGGTCTCAGGGTGGACAGGATTTGTGACATAAGCCCCTCTCCCCCATGGTTGGTTTTGAGGAACTCTTTGCAGCTGGTCCACATGACTGCTCCAGAGGAAAAGAGAAAGCTCCTTTCTATTTCTTCATTTTCTTTTCCCTTTTCGTGTTTGAGGAACTTGGTACAAATTCCCCTGTGGTCCATCTGTAGGGTGCCTGCTCTGCAGACACAGCATCTCCTCCTGACTGCGCTGTCCTGTCCCCAGAAGGCCTTGTCCCTTGTCCTCGGCCCCTTGGAAGGCCGTCAGATTTCCTTTTCTTTGGCTTTCTCTTAATCTTCGAAGTGAATCTCTGATATGGGCCCTGGAATTAGCAGTGGCTGAAGCACCCAGAGAAGGGATAGGGGAAGGGTTAGTATTTGTGAATCGCTCCCTCTGGGCGGGGTTTTCAGCACTGGAAGAGGCTGTCTCCACAGTGTGGCGGGTACTGTACAGGTGCCAGAGAAACCCCTGGGGGTCAGGGCTGTAAGAGTACAGAGAAGAGAGCGGGAGTGAGTTAGGCAGGAGGACCTGCAGCTGCTGAGATGGTGGGAGAACCTGGGGACAGAGCAGGAGAGGAGGGTCAGGCCCAGGGGTAACAGGAGGGGACTGAAGAGTCACATCTTGTGCAGGTCACCAAGACCCTGCAAGACCTGCAAGGAGGGTGGATTTGGTTCCAATGGAAACAGGAAGCTGCTTGAGGTTTTCAGAGGGGCTCAGTGCCATTTACACATCAAAAGTGGGCTCAGACAACCCTGTGGGCAGTGGGTGGGGGAGCAGGGCCCTTTGGTCCCTGGCTAACAAGTAGATGGTTTGGAGCTGGAAATTTAACAACTTCCATCATCACGTCCATTGGGGGTGAACATGAGTTCCCCCAAATAGATGTGTCTTCCCAGAGGGTCCCACTGACCCTTCCTTCCTTCTGAGCCATCAGCCAGCGATCCAGCCGAGATTCCCTCCAGTCTGAAGCCAAAAGGGAAGACAAAGCAGGAAGTACTCTCCTGGCCCTTGCAGGGCGGCTGTGAGCTGGCACTTTCCACACTCAGCCTGGCTGAGGAGGCTTTGCCTCAGCCCTCGCTTCCTGCTGCAGGGCCAAACCTCAGCCGTGCGGCACCAGCCCAGGGGCCTCGCGTACCCTTGGACCATGGTTCCTCTGGCGCTGCCAGCTTCTGTGTCCAGAGAGGGGCTTTTGAGGGGTGACTGAGTCAGGGGGTGCCATACTCCTCATGGGTTAATTGAGTAAATTCGCTGTTGGAACAGGCCAGGTGGTCCCCAGGGGCGGACCTGCAGGGGTGTGCTCTGGTCCTCAGTCCCTCTCTTCCCTCTCTACTTCCTGGTTGCCGAGTGTTGAGCAGTTTTTCTCCACCAGGCCCTTCCATCATGATGCTCTGTCCTCCTTCCTTCCTTCTTTTATGTGCTCCTCCCCCTCCCTCTCCCCCTCCTCCTCCTCTTCACCTTCCTCCTTCCTCCTTTCTCCTCCTCCTTCTTCTCCTTCTTCCTCTTTGAGAGAGGGCCTTGACATGTAGTTTAGGCTAGTCTTGAACTCACTATGTAACCCATGCTGGCAAACTCACGGCAACCCTCCTGCCTCAGCCTCTGAGTTCTAGGATTCCAGGCGAGTGCTACCACCATGCCTGGCTTCACCCTGACATTTCTGCCTTGGAGCCAACCAACCAGGGGCAGAACCTGCCGACACTGTGAGCCAAGTAAACCCCTCCTCCTTCAGGTTGGGTGCCAGGTATTTTGTCCCAGAGACCAAATGACCAGTGCACTTGCTCTACTCAGAACTAAGGTCCTTAATCCCTCATTGTCTTCCTCCTCCACCTCCTCCTGCCCAGGTGTTGGTCCGTCCTCTGCTTGCTCCTCTATCGTCCCTGCCCCGAGATGCTGGTGTATATCTTTAAATCCTTTCCACGGATGCTGCGTGAGAAGCTGCTCCAGCTGAGAAAAAATAGGAAAATTGGGAAAAACATAGGCACACACCTGAGCCAGTCTCTCAGGGAGCTTCCAGACCAGTCGAAACGCACACCCGCGGTGCTGTGGGAATGTGGGGTACACTGCCTGCTCCCGTGCCAGTGAGCCCGGTGAGGACACAGCCCTGCTGAGCTGATAAAGAGGAGGCGATGAACAGGTAGGCAAAAGCTCTATGACACCTCCTTTTTTGTTTGTTTGTTTTGGGTTTTTGTTTTTGTTGTTTTTTTTTCTTTTTTGAGACAGGGTCTCACTATGTAGTTGAGACTGACCTGGAACTCACTGTGTAGCCCAGGCTCGTCTTGAACTCACAGTGATCTTCCTGCCTCAGCCTCCCAAGTGCTGGGATTACAGGTGTGCGCCACCACGCCCGGCTAATGACGCCTCCTTTTGAAAGCAAGATTAGTGATCTCTTTCTTCCGGAGGCGCTTTCCTGGTGCTGTAAGGCTTTGATTAGACTCCAGAGCTCCAAGAAGTCTGTTCTGCTTTTGTCGGTCTTGCGGTTGCTTCAGTGGGACGCGGCTCCTCCGAGCTCCCTGCTCTGCCTGTCGTCGCATGCTTCCTGGTGATTGGAAACATAACCTTTTCAAACTTTGCCGAGGCCCGTTGTGCTGTCTTCTTTTTCATTTTTGGATTATGCTTTTGGTAATGTACGTAAGAACTCTTTGTCTGCACCATGATAACAAAAATTTCCTCTCCTGTTTCCTTCTGATAGTTGAATGGCCTCACCTGTTGCGTTTAGATGTTTTACTTTGAGTTAATTTTTCTAAATGACATGAGACGATGCTCCCAGTTTACCTTTGTGCCGGTGAGTACCTGGCGGTCCCAGCATGGTATGTTCAGATTATCCTTTCTCCCACTGAACTACTTTGGCACCGGCCTGATGATTCACTGACTCCCTTTGGGGTTTGTTTCAGGACTCTCTTCTCACCCGGTGCTGTGTCTGTCCCTACGCTGACACCCCAGTGTCTCTATTACTGTAGCTTTGTAGTGAGTTTTGAAATCAGGAAGTGGAAGCCTCCAACTTCGTTCTGCTTTTTCAAACCAGCTTTGGCTATTCTGGGTCCTTTGTATTTCTATTACACATTTTAAATTCCATGTAAGTTTCAGCCATTTAATTTCTGCAAATGTGCCTGCTAGGATTTTGACAGGATTGCTTTGAATCTGTAGATAAATTTGGAAGCTTTGCAACCTTAAATATATGGAACCTTCAGATCCATGGGTGTGGTCTCTCCCTCTCTACTGATTTAGACCTCTTCAGATTTCTCTCAGACTGCCCATTTGTCAGCCATTCTTTTTCTTAACTATGGTATTGTGGTGAAAACCCACAACATTTATGTTTTAACCTCCTTGGGTGTACAGTTCAATGGCGTCAACTCATCCACGCCCAGCTGAGGCCCAGCATCTGCTGGACAAAATGGTCTGCGGAGGCACACAGCCCAGAGAGGACGGGGACGGTTCCCTGGGAACGAAAGAGGCATCCAGGGGGTTGCGGCAGCTGGGCTGGGTGTGCGCAGCATGTGGCTGAAACTGGGAACGCACTTTTCACTCAGTTGTCCTGACACTGTGTGTTTATTTCAAGGCCAACAGCTGAAAATGAAGGGAACCTATTCAGTGTGCCCTCCGCGGTCAGTCCACGGAGGGAATGTGCTTGTCCTGCTCGAAAGCTCCCCGAGACTATGTTGGGCTCTGGATACCACCCGGGCAGACGACGAGACTGCCGGAATCGGTGTCTTTGGCCCACACGGCTCACGTCTGTTGCTGTCTGGCACGCAAGCTGTACTCGGGTCAGGCTCTCTGTGAGACCAGGACGGAGCGCAGGGAGCGGACTTGGGAGGTGGTCCTAGAAATCCCTGTGGCGGTGGGAAGGAGGCAGAGGGGCTGGGGCCTCAGAGAACGTGCCCCCGACGTGTGCCTGGTGAAGAATAAGAAAGGTGAGGCGTTTCTTCTCCAGAGCTTCCCGCCACTGGTCCAAGGCTACTTTAGGGGCAACTCTTTGGCACTTATAAATCATGTGCCCCCGTAGCCCATATGAAGCCCCCGGGAGAGATTTGCATGTGTTTGCAGTAAGATGCTCCAGTTTAGAGCTCAGAGGTTAGAAGTGAGCTCCAACTGCCGCTGCAGGACAAACGCCAGCGGGCACAGGCTTCCTTCCAGCCTCCACCCCGCCCTTCCTCCTCCTGTCAGAACCGTGGCGTTGTTCTGGATAGCAGCTTGGCAGCCAGTAGACCTTGTCTCAGCCTCCCTTGAAGATGGGGATGGGAGTGCTCAGATAGGGCTTCTGGAAACACTTTTTTGTCCTTCCAGTCTTCCCATTCCTACTTCTTTCTCCTGCCTAACATAGAGATGTGATGGCTGGAGCTCAAGCAGCCATTTGAAACCAAAGGGAAAGACCAAGAAAATCACTGAGAGCTCAGGCCTAATATAGGATTTTATGGTTTGGTTCTAAACGGAAGCAGGAAATAGTGAGGATCCCAGCACAGACAACTCTCTAACACGAAGATAGGAGCAAAAAGCGGCTTTTAATTATGCTGGCGGCTCAGCGAGTGACTCCCGTCAGTCTTGAGAGCCCTGAATAGAAGTTTGAGCTTCCTTATCTACCTCTTTCTACATCCAGGAGGTTTGATTCCATTGAACTTTCCCTGGGAATGCAGCAAGCGGGATTCACACAGAGCAGAGCAGTGGAGAGGGGAGAGCAAAAGTTCCCGCAGGACTTTCTGAGTCCGCCATGCTCCTTTGTGACAGATGACAGACGTTGTCGTGGCTGCTCAGGTGCATTCTACAGAGAAAAGTTACCCGGGTAACCCGTAGTTGCCTCGTAGCACCGTTAACTCACAGTTGCCTGATTCCATGTGGAGGGGTGTTCTCCTCGCTCAAAACCACTCCAACCTGATCTGAACCATCTCAGCCCAGAGCCAGCGGATGGGCTTTTGGACAGTGACTGGGTCGTGAGAGCACTAACTTCATGAGTGGGTTAATCCACGAGCTCCCGCTGGGTGGCTATGAGGGGGTGGGCCTCGCTCGTGACCTTGGGGAGGATCTCGTCCTGCACACTTCCCCTTCCGCTCTTTCGGTCTTCCTATCTCGCTCTGCTTCCCAGCCGCCATGAGGTGAGCAGCTTTGCCCTGCCACGCCCTTCTGCCCTACAGCAGCCCTAAGGACAGTGGCATCCAAGACCCAGGGTCAGGACCCTGAAACTGTGCCAAAATCAAACCTCCCTGCATAGAGTTGTTTCTCTTGGGTTTTTGCTCACAGCAACAGACAGCTGCGGGCCAGGAGCCAACGTCAATGGCCACTTGCCCTAGATTTCTCAACACGCAGAACAAACCCCTAGCTGGGCAAGATGGCACACACCTACAATCCCCAGGCTTTGGGAGGCTGAGGCAGGAGGATTGCAAGTTCAAACCCAGCCTGGGCAACATAGTGACTTAATGAGACCCTGTCTCAAAATTGAACAGCTGAAAAAAGGGACTGGGGATGTGGCTCAATATCCTGGGTCTGATCCCCATGAGCAAAAAATAGAGCGATAAAAAATAAGGACAGACCCTTAAGCATGAGGCTACTGAGATATTCTGTGATAGCAGTCCTTGTTACAACACCCGAATGGAACTCCTAAACATATAAAGGGATCCTCCCTGTCAGAAGGAGGAGAAGGAGAAGAAAGAGCTTGTTTGTATACAAAAATAGGTGACGCGAGTTCTGGTAGATGTATCTAAGTGTGCTGGGTACATGAAATACTGACAAAACTGGGATGAACCGTGAAAAGAAGGTTGAATTGATAATTTACACAGCTTCCATAAAACAATGCTTCGTAGCTTTTAAAAGACACAGTATATCTCTGTGTAAATGGAGATGATGTGGAAACGTCTCCTCTTTGTTTTCAGTGGAAAGGTTAACACATAAGGAAGTTGAGTCACACGAGTGGACGTGCACATGTGTTTTCATAGTGTGCCTCTTGGTATCCATAGCCACCTCATAGTTGGAGTCCTCTGAGTTGCAACAGAAGGAAGAAGGCTGGAAGACTTCCGCTAGCAGGCCAGGGCTGCCATGCGGTGGGGAAGCCAAGCCTCCCCAGGAGGCCCTGGACGGTCGGGTGTCGGTTCTGTCCCTGGCCAAGGAGCCAGGCGTGGGCGACTCCAGAGTCGAGCAGGGCGGTGACCTCGGCCTTCAGGTCCCCATTCTGCCGGACACCACAGAGCAGAGTGAGGCCGTCCCTGCCCGATTCCTCACCCACGGAATCTGTGATCATCACCAAATGGCTGTTTTAAGGCACTGAAAAGAATACTGGTGGTAAAACGCATAGAGGGGCGGCGTAGCTGCCTCCCCCCACCCCCGGGCTCAGTGGCCACCATCTCGGCCAGTGTCGGTTGGAGCAACACGGGGGCCTCCCGAGGAGGAAGGCAAACCCATCCCACAGGCAAGCGATGGTCTGCCACTTGCCAGTGAGGGATAGCTCGGGGCCTGCCAGGGACACTGTCACTCGGTTCCAACCCGCCATCTCGGTCACCTTCCCTTCCCTGTGCCTGGACACGGCACTGACATCCACAGCTTGAAGCAGGAGGACAGTTTGGGCACATGGTTTAGAGGCTTCAGTCTCAAGTCAGCTGGCTCAAAGGCGGACGGCAGGGGAGGATCTGGCCAGGAGAGCTGGTCAGTCACAGCAGCGAGGGAGACGCAACGCAACCTTACTGTCTGCCCGTGCCCGCCTCCCACCAGGCCCCTGGCTGCCTGCAAGTCAGCTGTGAGCTCAGCAGTGGCCTCCTCCCCGAATCCAGTGATCCAGGCTCCTTCCCAACGCCTGAGGCTTCTGGGAGACACCTGAGAAAAGCAGTGTCAGGGAGCTGAAGCTCGGGAGCTGAAGGGACACGGCTGGGCTTAGCTAGAGGCTGAGGTCTCCGTCTCTATTCTCCAGGGCCCTGGCTGTGGGCTGTATTTGCTTATGCAGCAGCGGGGGGGAAGCCAAACCCCCATCTCACCCGCTCTGCAGAGGAAGACGTGGTTCCCGTGAAGTCCAGCCCCAGACAGGGGAATCCCGGGGCCATTGAGATTGGGTTAGGCCGTCAGGCCAGGTCACAAGCCAGCAGGAGCCCCCTCCCCCGGGGTGACTGGGTTTGGAGGTCGGTCTTTGGAGGCAAAGTTAAATAAGGTTAGAAGGGAAGGCGCAGAGCTGGGCCTTAGGGTGCACGCCTGCGATCCCAGCACTGGGAGGCCAAGGCAGAAGGATCGCGAGTTAAAGCCCAAACTGGACAACTTGGCAGTTAAGCAAGAACTTGTCTCAAAACACAAAAACCAAAAGGGCTGGGAGGCAGCTCCGTGAGAAGCCCCAGGCTGAATTCTCATTATCAAAAAGAATGATGCGGGAGGGCTGTGGCCTTCCTGGAAGAGGAAGAGGGAAGACCTCTGTGGACCGAGCTGGGGAAAGGGCCTCACCAGAGAGTGACCGGTGCCACCCTGGCCTTGGCCTTCGGCTCCCAGAACCAGGTGGACACAGAAGTCTGTTGTGAAGCCGCAACCTGTGGCCTTTGCTGTGTAGCTGGAAAAACTAAGATGGATGGATTCGTGCTTACAGTTCGGCAGAGAAACGGAGCCCTGACTAGTGCCATTCTGCAGTGCCTTTGGAGACCCAGGCAAGCAGAGGGGCGGGGACAGGGCCGCTGCCTGGGCCGCAGCTGGAGAGGGCTGGGCCAGAACCTGGACCCAGGAAGTTCAGCCCAAGTGCCGTGGGGCTACTGCTGAGTGGCGGGGAAGTTCATCGTCACTATTTTATACCTTTTGTACCATTACTTCCTGAGCCTGAGGAATCCCATAAAGCCATTTCTATTTGGGAAAGAAAAATCACAAAACGTCAGCCTGCTGGAGAAAGAGCACAGCAGGAAGAGGACACATGAAATATATTTAGAAGCCAGGCGTGGTGGCCCACACCTGTAATCCCAGCACTTGGGAGGCTGAGACAGGAGGGTGGTCACAAGTTTAAGGCCATCCTGAACTACATAGCAAGACCTTGTCTCAAAACGAAAAATAATCTATGGAGTTATAAGTCACGATCTTGCCAAGGACACTGACCTAGGAATTATGCAGGGTTTTTTATGTCAGCTCAAGAAATCAATTTTACACGTATGAAGATTGGAACCACTAAAGCAACATGTGGAAAATGACATGTTTGGAAAGTCCTTGAGAGCTTGTCCCAAAGCCAAGAGTCAGTCCCAAACAAGAGAAATGTTTAGCAACCCCAGGCTGCATTAACAGAGGTGCGATATCCAGGATAAGGGAGTTTAGTCTTATTTTGCTGGCTACCCCTAAAGTCAGCGTCTGGTTCTGGGCTTTCATTTTTAAGGAGAATATTTCCTGAAGAAGAAACTAAGAGGGTGGAGGGGATGATGTGGAGAGAGTCTGAGAACCATGAAAGAGCAGAAGCAGTTAGGTGGGAGGGTGACCCAGGCTGGAGCCGTGAGTGCACCTGAGAGTCCAGACCAGTGCGGCCAGAGCTGCCAAACTGGAGTGAGGGGTGCTGAGGCTGGGATCTTAGATGTTGACCAAGGCTCATTTGTTACTTGACTTCCCAGTCTGTAGCTCTACTGGGAGAATGGGGAGCCTTTCCGGGGCAGGGCCTAGTGGGAGAAAGCTAGGTCATTAGGGGCATGGCCTTGAGGCAGTACTGGGGCCCAGTCCCTTCCTCTATCTCTCTGCTTCCTGGCTACCATGGGGTGAGCAGTTTGTCCTACCACATGGTCCCCACCATGCTGTGCTGTTCTGCTGCAGCCCCAAAAGCAATTTGGCCAAGAGACCATGGACTGAAACCAAGAAAACTGTGAGCCAAGGCAAACCTTTCCTCTTTGTAAGTCCATTATCTCTGGTATCTTGTGACAGTAATGGAAAGCAGACGAACACAGAAGCTGAGCTTCCTGTCTTGGTGCTATGCCAGCCCAGCAGTGGCCAGGGTGGCTGTGTGGTTGGATGGATGATGCTGTACTTCCTAGAAGAGACCTCAGGGAACCTGCTATCAGTCCCTGTCACAGCAAGTAGGGGCTGCCTGCAAGCCAGGAGGAGAGGCCGCTCCAGCCGGTGCCTTGGTCACAGCCTTCCCAACCGCCAGGGCCATGAGAAGTGCATGCCTGGCCGAAGTCGCCTGCTTGCTGCGTTCTGTCCTAGCAGCCCCAGCAGCCTGGGGCAGATGCTGACTGCAGCAGTGGCACTAACCGGGCACTCCCACAACCCTCCCTTCCCAGGCTGAGGGGCTTGGGACTGGCGGCCCAAGGTGGGGTGCCCGGAGGAGCTGGCCAGGTCTGCTGGGCCAGGAAAGCATTGCTGATCTCCCCGTCCTGCTGCCTCCGAGTTCTGCTCCCTGACTCTGGGTGGTTGCGGGTTTGGTGGGGAGCCGACAGGAAGCGCATGGGTTCCTGGTCGTGGTGCAGACTGGGGTCCCTTGGAGTCGTTGGCATTTCTGGAGGTAGTAGTGTGGCAGTGTGTCACAGTGAGTATCACAGATACAGAAATCTGAGAAGATCCATAATCTGAAATGTTTATGCCCTCAAGTGGGAAATTCTGCTCCTGAGCTCCTGGATGGGTCACAGTGAAAATGCAGGTGCATTAGTATACCACTGGGTGTGGTGGTGCACACCTGTACCCCTACCCCTCTGGGAGGCTGAGGCAGGAGGATTGCAAGGTCCAGCCTATCCTGGGCAGCTTAGTGACTTAGACCTTGTTTCAAAATGTTAAAAAAGAAAAGAATTTTTTAAGGTCTTGGAATGTAGCTCAGTGCTAAGGCCCTGGGTTCAATCCCCATTATAAAAAATCTAAACAAAACAAAGAATAACACAAATGTGCTAAAAAATACTGCATTATGCTATGCTCAGGCTGAACACATGAGGTGAATGTAAACCATAAATGAACTTTGTGCTTAGATATGTGTCTCATCACCCAGATATCGCATCATGGGCGTGGAAGTATTCTATAAACCCCGGAGTCAAAATCTGAAACACTTCTGGTCTCAAGCATTTTGGATGAGGGATGCTCAGCCTTGCTGCCCCTCGGTTTTGCTTTCCTTTGTTTGTTTGTTTGTCTGGGCCAGGGTCTTGCTGTGTAGTCCAGGCTGGCCTTGAACTCGTGGTGGCCCTCCTGCCTCAGCCTCCGAGTGCTGGGATCACAGGCGTGCCCACCACACCTGGCCGTTTGCTGCTGTCCTACCCTTCCTCACCTTCTCCCAAAAACGGCACCCTGGTTTTCCTGAGCTGTCTCCATTCAGTGCCCAGGCCCTTCCCAGGCTCACTGCCTGCCCCCGGCATCTGCTGTGCTGCCCAGGCCACCCAGCTGGCCCAGGTGGGGCCATAAGACCTGGAGGCCACAGTGTGAGACCCTGGAGGAACGGCCTTGTGATGACCTGGCCAGTGGGGATTGAAGACCCCTTGATCTGGCTATTCCTGAAAGCCACTTCTAGTCAAAGGAGACAGTAAAATTCCTCGTAGCTTCATCCACTTTGGATCAGATTTCATTTTCTTAAAACTGAGAGGACGTGGGCAGAGACAAGACGGTGTGACTCAAACATGCCTGAATAGATTTGTGTGAAAAGCAGTGGGAGCAGAAGGACGGCTGCAGCAGTGTGCAGGGAGGCCCGGGAACGGCCGCAGGTGCCAGTGTCCGGAGGAATAGCAGGGGCCGGCTCCCAAAACGTTCAGAGCGCCGTGGGGAAGCCAGAAATACAACTGTGTCACCAGGGACAAAAGTAAGATCACAAGAGAAAACTGGACAGCGCGACAGAAAACAGAAATACGCCTGGCCTCGGGAGTCGCAGCTACGGAGGAGCGCAGAGGGGAAGCCACACATGAGCAGGAAGAAGAGCGGAGGCTCACTGTCCGATCACCCTTTTCACAAAGTTAGAAAACAGCAGCAAAATAAACCCTGGGGAAAGAGAGAGAAGGGAAATAATAAAGATCAGAGCGCCGAAAGAGGAAGGAACCACACCGCAGAGCACTGGCAGGCTGGCGCTGGCTCTCTGCTGGCCCGACCGCGGGGGCGAGACGGCACCGCCTCTTCGGGGAACGCTGGGCCCCGGCGTGGGCGGCGAGGACCCAGGTGGCCACAAACAAGGGGAAGTGGTGAGCCCGCGACCTGGAGGAGCCCTGCATGGGCCTTGCTGGGAGCCCCGGCCCTGGCCGGTGGGAGCCACGGCTGGTTTAGGAGGGAGGGTAAGGTCTGACTGGACGCCGCGGGAGGGCCCCAGAGGACCCTCTGTGAAGCTGGGCCGGGGCTGACTAAAGAGGAGAAGAGGTCACAGAGTGAACCAAGTTCAGTGTTCTGGGAAGCGCAGGGGGGAGACTGCGGCCACACTGCCTGCCTCAGGCACTGCCTTGGCATGGGCCGCTTCCTTTTCAGGAGCCGCCAGCCGCCCCCAGGGGTCTCTCGGCTGCAGTGTGCGGGCGGGCGGGGCATGAGGCCAGAGTCTGCAGCCTGGCTCTGCCGGGAAGCTGTACCAGGTGGCTGTGGGGTCCGGGCCTCCCCCACATGTCCCCAGCACCCTGCGCAGGCCTCTCCACAGCGCCACCTCCTCAGGCGGGGGCTGGCTCCTCTGAGCCCTGAGGCCCTCACCTGTCCCCCTGCCAGGACCATGGTGCCACTACCCCGGGACCCGGCCAGACCCCGGAGATGGCCACAGTGCAGTGACGCCAGGAGCTTTCCCTAACCCTAACCTCTACCCCCCGGCTTGTCGTCCTCCCCAGTCCCCCGGCAGCTCCTCCTCACAGCCTTCCTGCCGGGCCTTCCTTCCACGGCCAGCACGTCCCTTCCCTGGCGCTCCAGGAGTCTGAGTGCCCGTCCCTTCCTTCACTCAGTCAAGGTCTAGTGTCCCCTTGCGGGCCATGCCAGTCACCTCCTCACTGGCCGCTCCCCTGCCCGCCCCTGAGCAGCCCTGGCCGACCTTCCCCGTGGGTCCTGTGCATCTCAGCCTCTGTTTCCCACCACTCTGGGCCGCTTGTGTGAGCGGCTGCTGCGTGCTGGCCCTGCGGAGCTGGTGCCCAGGGCCGCCCTCACCTCCCAGCAGGCACCTGGACTCCTCCATTCAGTGCTTGGCCGGTGAGACAGGTTGGGGAAGAGCTGTGCCAGGCCCCATCCCGAGCACTGGGAGCAGCCGGTGGGCTCTTAGTGGCATCTCGCAGCCCTGCCTGACCCAGGCGCCTCCACCCAGGACACTTACTGGAACCGGGGCTCCCGCAGCTGACAGGCCGCTCTCCCTGGGATGTGGTTGCTGGGGCACATTGGGGACACGTGTGTGCAAGGTGTGCACGGCACACAAGTGGGAGCAGCAGCAGGGAGCATGCATTGCACACTTGCTGTGAGCCGGGGGCTAGTGTCGCTCACTGCACCAGGCCGCGCTCGTCGGCCCGGCTCACGGAGGACGAGGCCTCTCAGGCACGTCCCTCGCACACCCACGGGTTGGCACGGTGGCCCGAGCAACCAGGCACAGAGCCACGCTCACCAGGCCGGGCAGCAGGCAGCCAGGACCTACCTCACACACGTGCACACGCGTCACTGTAACACGGATGCACACAGAGCGCGCCACAGGCACTCACACACGCCTGCATGCTTAGCTAATGGGTGTTCACCGGACTCCTCCCTGCCAGGACGGTGCAGGGCTGGGCGGGGGGGTGAAGGGCCGCTGTGGGTGGCGGAGCCGGACCAGGTGGGAGCCCAAGGGCTGCAGACTGCGCCACACGCGCGAGGTGACGGTGAGCACCGTCGCCTGCCTGGCTTGCACACATGTGTGAGTGTGAGCCTCTCCGCACAAGGCCCTGGTGGGGCTGCAGGCTGTGGCCGGGCTCTGTGTCCAGGCCAGAGCGTGGCCCGTCCTGTCCACACCCACGAGTGCTCTCCTGTTCCGCTCCAGGCCTTGGGCCCCCAAGCCACCTTCTAGGGAGGCTGGGCGCGGTGACTGCTTCCGGGCAGCTGTGGCGAGTTTCTGCAGACTCCCTTCCTCCAACAGCCTCTGCTTTACTGAAAGTTCAGGCTGCCGTGGTTTCCCCACACTCAGAAAGGTCAGCCTCCCACAGAAAAAATTACTGAGATCTGTCCATCAGTCAGTCAACAAGCATCTACTGACAGGCAGTGGCTGCTCACGCACGGGAGAGGGGAGAGGAAGCACGGCTGTCCAGGGCCATGGTCACTGGAGGGAGGAGCAACCTGAGGGAGAACATCCTCATTCCTGGGCCCGAGTCCCCCTACGGGTGCAGTGGGAAGCCACTGATCAGCACAGGAGAAACCAGCTAAAGGCCACACGCGGTCTCCGAGCTGTGAGGCCCAGCGGCGAGGGAACACGGGGTGGGCAGCTCTGGGGAGTGGGCAGCTGGACATCAACCCCTCTCCCTGGGCACAGGAGCCGGGTGGGGCTGTGCTGGGACAGGACGGAATGCAGAGAGAGGGCCGGGGCAAGAGCCAGTGTCCGGTCTACCCTCTGGTGGCCGCGCTGACTGCTCTCCTGGAGATGAAACTTGTTAAGCTGCCCAACTTGCAACCCTCCTGCCTCAGCCTCCCAGAGTGCTGGCATCACAGGCACCCAACTTGTTCCCCCCTTATGGAGCCTCACCCTGTGCAGGGTGGGATACAGGAGGAGCTGGGATACTGTGACACTGGGACGGGAACGTGGGTGCTGAGGACCCTGGGAGAGAGGCGCTGATGGAGCCGGGCCAGGGGACTCAGGAGCAGAGGGGGGCAGCATGGGTACCAGGAAGGGCTCCTGAGGGTGCTGGTGCACCTGCCCTGGGATGCCCACTACCCTGCCACACACTGGGGAGGGTGAGGGCCGAGGCACGGGCTCGGCTCTGCTCCGCCCTGCGCACCTGGGGCACCCAGCGGCAATGCAGTTCCTGTTGGGGGTGCCCACTGTGGCAAGCTCTCAGTTTGGTTCTGCACGTCATGAAGGGCCAGAGTGTGGGAAGTGATAGGCCAGCTGCAGTCCTCCCGCCCAGAGCGCTGCCCACTGCGGACGGGCAACACGGGTGTCCATCAACCAGCCCACAAACGCCTGGAGCCCCTGTCCTGATCCCCCAGGCCGGCCTGTCGGAGCCGGGCCACCCTCTCTTCTTGTCTAGTTTTGCTTTACCAAGCGCCTGGTCCAGGCCCAGCCCTGGGCTGGGGACCCGGGACAGAGGAGGAATGAACCTCAGCTCGCATCACCCGGGAGTCTGGCTGGGGCCAGGCCTAGCTGGGGGCTTTCTGCCTGACCGAGGCTTTACTTTATTACAGTGAAAAGTCGAACGGAAATGGAAAGCAGCAGTGGCTAACGAAATTGGAAGGCACACATGTCAGGCAGCGCTTCTGGGAAAGCGCTCACCGTGCCAGGTCTGGAGAGGGGACCGTTCTGTGGGAGCAGGGACCTCGGAGGAGAATCAGGAGGGGCTGCTGAGGGGCAGGTTCTTGTTCCTGGGCGGGAGGCAGTGATGGAAATGTTCTGGGACGACACCGTGGGTATGCTAAACAAAGCATTGTGGTCTACTGCACCGCGCTGGTTCTATATGCTTCGTGGTTAACATGGTTTACGTTATATGAACTTTATCTCAAAAAATAAGCTTGTTTCAACAAGGAGACTTGTGGTTACAAATGACAGAACTGGCTTTTTAAAAATGGGGCTTTGGGCTTATACAAAAAGTTTAGGGAATGGTTTCAGGTGTGGGTGGTTCAAGGTGCTCACGTGATGTCAGGCTGAAGGCTCTTCCTCTGGGACCTGCTTGCTTCCAGATGGCTTCATTCTCTTTCTCAAGCAGGTCTAACGAGCCTCGGTGGCAGCAAAGTGTGTGGCAGTCTCGGGGGTCAAGCTGAGCACCTACCGGCTTATGAAGCACGGAGGAAAGAACAGCAGCGGGAAAGGCAGTGCTGCTCTCTGATTACCGCTGTGACTGCGTGGATTCCGGGGTGCAGGGCTGTGTGCCGCTTGCCGCTGCAGGGAGGCGAGCTCGTGGTGAGGGGACCCATGGGCCGGGCGCGTTCCTGGACACCTTGAGGGCCGGGGGTCAG